AAATAATACCAGATCTCGTTATTCAAGATTTGTTTATTATAATTATCGACATGTACGCTGTCATCGTAGTCGAGAACCAAGTAGAATACCAACACGATTAATAAATAGTTTTAACACAAAAAGTAGAAACCTYMGACGGGTTTRTCAAAGAATACGCCGAAATATACCCAAGTCTTCTAAGTTACATCTTTGTTTGAACTGTTTAAATGTTAAAGCGAAGCATTCTGTTTTAAAATGMAAGGGGATTGGTTCCCTGGTCCCAGAGGTTGGATGTATTCACTCTTCGCTAATTGTAGAGTGAATACATCCAACCTCTGGGACCAGGGTAGGGGATTGGTACACGAGGGCTTATTTCTCATAATCGTCGTCAAATCGAATTACATTCATTTCGCTTCTTTTTCTTGCCTCTTCGATAATCCGATCCCAATATATACTGATCTCGTTACATCTAAGCCGCGACCAAAAATTGACTTGTTCTACATTTATCATAAAACCAAAAGATAAAGTTAAAGAACCCCGAGTACACGCTGACAGGCGTCTTGTTATTATTTGTTATGAAGCGATGTAMATTAAGCGTTTCTGTGTCTCCTTGTGGTGCATTTTAGTCATATGCCAACGGACAGGATTGGCGGAGCGCATCATGACCTTTAGGAACCGTAAATGATCTAATAATTACATTTCGATGGTCCAAGGGGAGYGTTTAATGGACAGGAGGCATTTATTCTAAAATATAACTGTAACRTTTGTTAGAAAGGGGGCGTTTAATTCAAACTTGGAAGTATAGGGAGGCGTTCATTAGAGAGGGGGCATTTATTAGATCATTTACGGTATACAGTGTGCGTAATCCGAGCTTGATAAACTTCATGACCATTGGCTTGTAATAAGATCTGAAGATAAAGTAATCTAGAGAGTGCAGTACTAAGTTCGAATGTATGCCTGCGGCTCGAATCTTTATACCCGATAAAACACTCTCTCTCGTGTATTAAACTATACATTGAAGGTAAAGTGACTAAAAGTCAGGTTCCCTGAAATAGGAAGTTTGGGTTCTTTGCTCGAGTGGTCCTGGGATGGAATTTAAGGGTTTTTTTTTAAATCCTGTTAACTATTATCTAACAGGGCTTATAAAAAGTTCATACATTGTCTAGTGTGTACAAGCAATAATTGCTATCTTCATTGTTATAAAACATTGTTAATATTAAAATTTAATTATTAKATTTTTCAGACATGAAGTCCACAGCAAATGTAAGGTGGTCCCACCTGAGATAATAGAAGTATTTGACAACGATAAAATTCTGAAGGCACTTATAAACTGTGATCCAGATTTCGTCTCCTCAACAAACCCTGTGAAGATTGAGAAAAACCAAAGTTTTATTGTTGATTTGGACAAACTGGAAGACCCTGAAGATATTTTGTCAGATGACCTTGGAGCATGGGAGCAAACTAAGACACGGTCAAAATGGTATAATGTAGTGCTGACTGAGAATGGAAATSCCAAAAAAGTCACCAAAGTTAAAGATCATTCTCATGGAGCTTACCAGGTTTGCAGGCGCCCATTTGTCAATAAGAGTGACAAATCCCTGAAAAAGACCATTGTGAAYGTAATCCTTCMAAATGGAGAACATTTCAATTTAATATTTGTAAGATATTATTTTGAAGGTCCAGAACATGCCATAAAAGTTGCACCTCATGGAAACTCCAGCAAGTCGTCTATCCCATATCTTAGAAYATACCAAAGCACAGTAAATAAGCTAAAGGAAAGTGTAACTAAAGGAAAGGGAGTCAAGAACATCCTCCATGATGTTGAACACCAAGTGGGAGGACTGCAAAATTGTAAGTCAGAAGGTGCATTACCTAGGAGTACTCGTCAAGTACAATACTTAAAAGATGAATCCAAAGAGAAAGACCCCATCTTTGCAATTACCACTAAAATGAAGTTACAAGTTGAAATGGAAGGTGAAAAGTTCATAAGAGCATATTCTTTAGATGATGACTCACCCAAAGTAGTTCTCTTTACTGATGATCAAGTAGATGACCTAGTCAACTTCTGCTGTAATGACATTCATGGTCACAAATCAATGTTATATGTAGATGTCACATTTCAGCTTGGTCCATTCTATGTGCTCCTAACAAGTTACCAAAACACAACACTTGTTACCAAGACTACAGGAAGATGCCCCATTATGATTGGCCCTACATTGTTATGCATGCTGAAAGATAAGGCTACTTATCTGACACTCTTTCAAAAGCTCACTGCTCTTGTGCCAGGACT